CTCGCCTACATCGTCCATATAGGACGACTCGGGAACTCAACTCCTACCCCGGGCAGCTCACCTATCCCCTTATGCCCAGGGGAAAGGTATCAAGCCGTTTGACAGCAGATGCTAGCTGTCAAACCGGCTTTTACGCAAAACAGGCGGGAGGCAGCAAACAGCTGCGACCGACGAAATCGCCTGCCACCGGAAGTCCTCCGAAAGAAATGCATACTGTATGTTAAGAAAAAAAAATTTAATACTGTATCATAAAGGAGGTTTGCCTAAGACAAATATGTATTTTAGGACAGTATGCATAAATATGTATATATATTGGGATAATCATCCTTGAAGGGTTTATTGTAATGGTGCTGTTACCGTTGTGTCTTCCACAACCAGGCAGTGATAATACTCAGCTGTAAGAAAAGTACAACATAAAAATTCTATATTGATATTTAGGAAATGATCTTACAGACACTTTCTTCCTGACAATTCAAAATCTGTTAAAACCACTATCACCATAGAGAAGTACTGAGAATGCAGTAGAGTGGTGAATTTCATAGTCCAAAGTTAAAATATCTTGTTACTTTTTATTGACAACTCAGTAGACTTACTCATTTTAAAACAATTGCTCAGAGAAACATGATTCCCCAAAGAAAAAATGGTAATGCCTTTGCAAGTTATGGCAGCTTTCTATTATTCAGCATTGCATGCATTTTGCTTTCAGACACATTTTATAAGTGCAAGAACATCGTGAGTTTGAACTAGAATCCATGGTGAGGATTTGAAATAGGACTGCATATTTGTATCCCTTGTGCCTGTATTTTTCTTATAAGTGACATTGAAATACAGTATATAGAATATTTGGCTGTTGGTTTACCATCAAAAATATTCTAGAGTCATGTTTTCTGGTTAATTAGAATTTGTTTACTTATTTTTTTGTCCTTATGATACCATCACTTGCTAGTTGGGACTGATTTGAACAGTGCTGCCTTTTGTGGTTTATACTTTAATTTGTGTTTTTGTTCTGGTTTATGAACAATAATAAGGCCTTGCTTGAATATTCACTGCCTTTTAAACGTTGAACTAAGGAAGACGCTTTCTCTTACTTTAATGATAGCAGCACGGCATAGGATTGATCAGTAGTGACATTTGATTGGAGAGATCCAGCACATTTGCCTGTTGTTTATTGAAGTATTTTCTTCAAACAGCTCCCTCGCAAGTTAGTGGTGTAATGAAAGAAAAAGTGCTGCAAAGGAGTGTGGAGCTTTCCTGGCAGGAACCTGAGCATCCCAATGGAGTCATCACAGAATATGAAATCAAGTATTATGAGAAAGTAAGCATTACTTTGAATGTGGGCCATTCTTCTGTTCATGTCATTGCAATATCTTTCTGTAGTGGACTAATGTTTTGAACAGCCAGCATGCAGCCTTCATTTTGGTTGCCATTCTGTATGACTGTTGAAGATAATCTTACCAATTTGATTCCATCTTCTCCAATACACAAGGAGAAGGTAGTAAAATCAAGTCACTATTTTAATGAACAAAAGCTTCAATTGATCAATTGTTGATGGCAGCCTTAGTTGATGATGCCACAAAGCAATGAGTTAGGATGCACTACAGGTAGTCCTCAAGTTACCAAGGCAATTGGAACTGGTATTTCCATCGCTAAACAATGCAGTCATAATGTGTGATGCCACATGGCCACATCGCTTAGAAATGGCAATTTCTACAGACTCCGTTGCAGTTGTAAACAAACATTGTATGTGTTAAGCAAGCGTCTCCTCACAACTTCCTGGTGGCTTCCAACAACCAAATTCGTTGGGGAAGTCAGCAAGAAGTTGCGAGTTCTAGGTGGCTTGCAAGCAAGCTGACAAGCAGATAAGTGACTGCGGTTGAGTGGGATCACATGCACAGGTAGGCAGGGTTTGGATAGGTGGTTGCTGCTGACGAGAGGTTGCAAAAGGGGTGGGGAGTGTAACAGGGTTTAGAGTGGTTGCTGCCAGGCCAGAGAGTGTGCCTAAGTGGCTGGGGAGGTACAGTGAAAGTACAATGAGGCTTGAGGATGGTGTGCCAGTAGCATGGGAACTGTGGTGCAAACACAGTGAGACTCAAGGAAAGTGTGCAAGGATATGTGAGTGCCCAGAAAGGCTTGTCACAAGCACAGCAAGGCTCAGAGAAGGTGCACAAATGGCTGCAGAAGAGCAGTGCAAGCACAGCGAGGCTCGGCAAAGGTGTGCCGGTGGCAGGAAGTTGAGTGGCCAAAGTGCAAAGTGGCTGGGAACAGCGCACTGGTGGGAGAGACTTACCTAAGTAACTTGAAAACTTCCCTGCCAGTTTTCCCACTGACTTTGCTTGTGGGAGGCGAACAAGGAAAGGAAGAAGGAGATCTAAATCAGGTGATCACAGGAAGCTCGACCATTGTAAGTGCAAGCACCCAGATTGTGACCGCAGAAATGGTGGGACAGATGGAGCTTTGAGAACTGGTCATAAAACACAAGTTATTTAGCACTGTTGTAATTTCAAACAATCAGAGAACACTGAGGACTACCTGTTTGTACTCTTTACTGTACTTGGGAATGAAGAAAAATATTTTGAAATGCACTTATTACTAAAGATTATTGATAAATTGTTACAGCATTTAAAAGGCACATATTTTGATATAGTAATATACAAATTAGTATATTAATTGGTTAAAATTAGGATAATTAACACTCTAAAATAATTGCTTTAACCATGATTCCTTATAATTTATTAATTTAATAGCAAAATATTCCCACATTCTTACAAATCTGGGCATTATACAGGAATCATAAAACAGTAGTCTTACAGTATAACAAATTTAAAACAAAACAAGAAATAGTCAAGTGGACATTTTCCTACTCTATTAGGCCTCAGAAGTGTTGTAGTCCCATTTACAAAGGAGTTTAATTAATTCAAAAGCTTCTTAAAATTCAGAGCGGAAGGGCCAAACACATAGCGTAAAGCTTTAGGATATAACACTTAAGTATTGTAAGAAATGTTACCTTACATTTTTCTGTATATAAGCACCCAATACAGCTGCAATGATGTGATAATCACATGTGCCACCTTTTGGATTTCTATATCTGAAAAAATTCTTTTGAAAATCCTTGTAAATGAATGGCCCAAATTTTTGGAGAAATAGAAATGATAGGACAGACATCGTATCTTTACTTATGAAGGTTTATTCAAAGTTTAAAACTTAAAATTAGAACTTAAGCATTGATTTTGCTATGAGGTTATTCTTGTAAATATAGATTACATTCACATGCTGTAATTCACGTAGTCCTCATCTAGTGGCTGCTGCATTTAGTGTCTGTTCCAAGTTACAGTGGAAATTAATATAATTTTGCAGCCAATCCTTGCAAGTTACAACCTTTGCAGGTCTGTAAAGCAAAGGAAAGATGAAGTAAGATTGTAAACATATTTGTGATTTCACTTAGCAACTGCTTCATTTAATGACCCAATTGCAGATCCCAATTGTGGTCAGCAAATGAGAACTACCTGTACAATATGTTCTTTCTTTTTTCTCCCACAAATTACTATTTTTCCCTTTCTTTTGTTTCTACCTGATTCCATTTTTTTCTGTATTTTAGAAATAAATTAAATTGGAGAGAGTAAAATTCTTTTTTTCTTTAACTTTCAATTCTGAAAGTCCACATGATGGCTATTGTGTGCAACATTCTCCATGAACCAGGCAATTATGGCCATCAGTGGCATCTTATCAGACATGAATAACATTGGATGAGATTCAATCCTAAGGCTAGAAGTAATCCACATTTTTCATGATGAAGAATGTGAAGAGAATTTGCTGATCATTTAAAACTGGATTGGATGACTAATATGAGCAGTTCCCAAATCAGATAATACTGACCTATGTAATTCTGAGGTTATGAAAATAACATGGCCTGAGATCGAGAATGTGAAAATCAGCTTAACACAAAGATTTTTGAAAAAGACAGAGTGAGCCCCACTAATAGCATTCCTATTAGCCAATTTGACTATTACACCACTGAAAGGATTGACTGAGATAACACTGCAAGCCCTGTCCCAACAAATTCTGACCTTGAAATAGATACCAAACCATTTAGCCCACAGGAGCACCTCAGTTTTGGATAGAGAGCCAGAAGATACAAAGTAGGTCTGAGGGGAAAAAACATATTGCCATATAGCTTTAGAGCAATGAGTTCTTTAAAGCACTAATTAGGATTGATCATGACCTTTTATCCAGATACAGTTATATGTTGGTAACAGCTTCCTGTTTAGAGTTCATTTTCGCATAACTCATATGATACCGTATTTGATTTCTAGAAGTCATGACTGTTTCCTCTTGACCAAGGCATCTATCTTAGTTTCTAGGCTGAGTGAATATGAATTGTTAACACACTACTTTTCGTAAACTCAGCCACAGCATATGCTAAAATGAGAGCTATTGTGCTTTAGATAGAATTCTGTCTTATTCCTTTTTAATATTAAATAATAAAAGCAAACCAATAACAAATTTTGTAACTACTTATAGTTTAATATTTTGTAAAAGTAAATTGATATTTAAGTAGAAAACACCGTTTTAATTCGACCATCATAAAAGGTCCAAGCATTTTCTTCAGATAAATTTTATACTATGGAACTGTAACAACTTTTTGGTGTAGATTCCCACAGAACTGAATTATAGTAGTATTCTCTATACTACAGAACTTAACAAAAAAAGTGGTGTAGATTTCCCAAAGAATATAAGACTCTACATTTTAAATAGATAATTTAAACTAAAGATAATTGTACATACTTTTCTTGGGTTTGTTGGATATACATAAACCAACTATCATAGATTTACTATCAATGACTGATTTACTATAATTTTTTATTTAAAAATTAAGATCTAATTTTACTAGATTTTTGATGAAAATCTGAATACAATTTTACTAATTTAGATACAAATTCACTGAAACAAAATATGGAATCACTGTCTATAAGTCTTGCATAAGGTTGTTACCCAGTAGAAAATTTTACTTATCCCCTTGTGTATGAAAAATAATAAGAATGCATCTACCACCAAAAAAAAAAGTAATAGAAGAAAACAGATGCATATACATTTAAGAGCACATAGACCTTTCTGGGCCATTGTCTGTCCTACTGAAAATAAAATGAACATGCTTCTGCTTCAGTTAATTTTAAGCTATTAATATCAGAGGTGTTCTTCCACTCATAAGTGAAGTCAGGTAGAATGAGCTTTGTAGAGTCTGCAGAGCTGAAATAAATAATTGTTATGATTTTTCTAGGTAGCTGAAAAAGAACATCTTATTTCCTAAGAGTAGGGAGGAACATGCTGATTCCTGAACTGATACATCACAATATTTGAAACTGATTGATGAACAAGCCAAAGTCCCAGTCAAACAGGCAATGATTTTCTCTCTTCACTTTTATGAACAGCACCATGTGCTTCCCATTTACATTTTGTGTTATTTTAAAATCTCCTCAGTGAAATGACATTGTGTTATGCCGCAGCAGCAGAGTCTCTGCTAAATTCCTTATGCAGGAAGAAAAAAATTCCTTCTAATAAATTGAAATAGGGTGCCAGAAGCCAGCTGTCAATTATTGATACAAAGCAAAATGAAAATCTGAAAGTTAAATACCACTCAATTGTGTATTTATGTTTGCAGGACCAAAGGGAGAGAACTTATTCAACAGTGAAAACCAGAGCCACTTCTGCTTCGGTTAATAATCTGAAACCAGGAACTGTATATGTTTTCCAGATTCGTGCTTTTACTGCTGCTGGCTATGGAAATTATAGCCCTAGATTAGATGTTGCTACACTAGAAGAAGCCACAGGTAACACTTACTTACACTTTTTGGCAATTAATATCACCAAGGAAACCCAAAACGTATAGCAAATTGGTGGAATGGAAACATTTTTGCCTTTCTCAATTATAGTCTCATTTCTCAGTTCTCAATTAAGGTCTCAAGATTTCCTGTGACTTACCTTGAGGTTGACAAACAAGACTTAAGTCAGTGCTGATTTTGCACTGCAGTTATCTGTCTTAGAAAAAAATATATCTTAGGACTGTTGCTTTTTGCTATGAATTTTTCAATAGAAATGTGAGGATTAAAAAATATATAAAGCAACATGTACAGTTATATAACACAAAATGATTCAGTGTCTTGAGGCTTTTTATTTTAACATTCCAAACAAATGGATGGTCATTTTTGTTCACATTCAGATCACATGATTACTCCTTCTTGAATCCTTCTGATATCAATAATAGCTTCTCAGTAGAATCTTTATTGCTGGCTCTTAGCATAACATCTTTTCTATTGACATTGGATATATTTAGGAATTATTCTCAGATCTTATTTATTGTGTCCCAGTTTCCAAAGGGAATAAAACTGACCAGAGCAGCAATATTTTTTTGTGTTTTTGGTTTTTAAGTTGCTCTTCTGAGGATTATGAAAGGCCTACACACTTTCTGTCTTCAGTACTTCTCTTTAAATATTTGTATTCCAAACATACTGTTAAATTTATTTAATTCACTGTGGATCCTAGCAAGAATGGAAATAAGGAATAGCAAACGTTATCATTTATAGATATACAGAGATAGACATTATATACAAGAGTAAATGTGAAGTTCTGCTACACGTTATTCCTTTAGAATTCTTTAACTATTGTGCAATGTTCATGACAAAAACAAGACATTTATCTATATACCACCCAGAACTAGGTCTGTTTGGGGGCTTTACACTTAGGTTGTGGCTTTGTCCACTGAACAAGATGACTTCTGAGACCTGAAACAAATCTCAATTCAGTGCATTCTCTTCCAAATTCATTTACAACCCCAGTTACTATAGACTGATTCTTATTACAGGTGGTCCTCTACCTACCACCACAATTGAGCCCCAAATTTCTGTTGCTAAACAAGACAGTTATTAAGTGAGTTTGCCCCCATTTTACAATCTTTCTTGCCACAGTGGTAAAGTGAATCACTGCAGTTGTTAAGTTAGTTAACAAGGTTGTTAAGAGAATCTGGCTTCCCCATTGACTTTGCTTGTCAGAAGGTTTCACAAGGTAATCACATAACCCCACTGCAACCATCACAAATACATGCCAGTTGCCAAGCATCCAAATTTTGATCACATGACCATGGGGACAGTCATAAATGTGAAAACTGATCATGTCATCTTTTTCAGTGCCATAGTAACCTCAGTCACTAAATGAATGGTGATAAGTCAAAGACTACCTGTACTTTAACATACGTATACCTTAGGCCTCATGTTCCTCTCCCTCTTTAATCTCTTCCTCCTCTCCTGGCCCCTTACTCTTGGAAGAGTTTAGTCTTGGTTTGGTTTTGCAATGAAGCATTCATTTGAAAGAGGGAAAATGTGTTTGGCAACCTTCTCCAGCATGTGAGAAACAGTAATCTGCCCAGGTTAAGAAATTAAGGGTGGAGGCAATGGGGAGGAAAATTTATGAAATGAGGCCAAGATTTACAGCAAATACATTGGGGACTGTATATGAGAGAAAGACATTTGAGTATCGGATATTATTCATCTGAACTTCTGGAGGTGGTATATCTGCTGTGAGGAGGACAGGAAGAAATATCCCAAGAAACAAAGGACTTCGTTCTTTCTTGATGGAAAAAAAAGGAGGAAGCAGAAAATTTCTTCCAAAAAATCAGAATGTGTGGCCAAAGGTTTTAACTAAAAAAAAGGGGTGAAAAGAAATTAGCCCTTTTGTTGCTCTATTCCATTATCATTCCTATATGCCTAACCTCTAAGAGGACCTGGTTTTTCCATTATTGAGGAATTTCTGTTTCTCACCTGACAGCTGCTCTTCCAGCATCTTTCCAAAATCCATTTTTTTCCCCTAAGAGTTGGAGCTACAGAACAAAAGAACATTCATCTCCATTCATTCTCTAGAGAGCTTTTTAGGAAGTCCCATGCAGGACCGTGCAGAGATCCACTGAAAAATAAAGCTAATGATGCAACCAAAGCTTTGTTTCACAACACAGCAATGTTGTTTTAACCATCACAAGAAAAAGTAACAAAATGTTTTCAGTATGTTACTGCTTGCTAAATTGAGGGGAAAACAACATTGGTGGGAATAGATAGAGAAAGAATGCACACACCAAGCGTGAGAGGACCAGAATATCTTTAATTTTATTTTTATCGAATGGTGCTTAATTTTGGGTTTCCAGAAACTGTGGAACCCAGACCCTATGACAAAGGTTTCAATCCAGGTGGTACCACTGTTTCTAAGAGGGAGCATAAATTTGCATATTTAGTCTATAAGCTTCTGCAGATTTACTTTTTAAAATTATATTTCAGGATTGCTATATTTTTCAACCAAAACTTGCAGGTCAATTTAAACAATTGTGTTGGCTGGCAGAAATGCAACAGATCCCATTTCCTGACATAAAGCTAAAGTAATGAGAAATCTATATGTGTTGAATGTTTTTGCTTGTGAGGCAAAATACCTTTCTTCGACTAAATAAGTAAACTTGTTTCTTGCTCACAAATACTGAATACACATTCTGTGCAATAGATTACAAAAAATGAAATTTCTAAGAACTGATGAGATAGATAGATAGACAGATAGATAGACAGACAGACAGACAGATAATCTTAATTTTACTTCTCATCTTTGCCTGTTTCTTTTCCTGATACAGCCACTGCCGTATCCAGTGAACAAAATCCTGTAATCATAATAGCTGTGGTAGCTGTGGCAGGCACAATCATCCTGGTTTTCATGGTGTTTGGCTTCATCATTGGGCGAAGGTATTATTTTCAAATATTAACATGCTTAAGATAGACAGGAATTGGAAAAACTCAAATGCACATTAATCATTGGTAAACAGCAAGTTTATATAGATACATCTATAGAGATCATTGCTTGCCAGTGGGTAAGCAACTTTAGGGATTGAAAAGAACAAAAAGTTTACATCACAGTGTCATTTTGATAGAAGTATCTGATTCAATTCATCATCCATATTACTAGTCTTACTTACAAATGTGTTACCAAAATATATCTTGATATATGTATTTAAAACAATTTTAGCTATCTTAAAGGACAGAGGCCCTTATCCCAGGAAGAGTTACTACCTTTTTGAACTGGTTTTCTAACTGCTTATGACAAAGGACCTAAAAACTATGTATCTGCACTCCATTTTCATTTGCCTCTTTCAATAAATTTCTAAGAGTTCTTTGGGCAAAAACAGCAATATACTACAGGATATCAATAATTCATTGGTGATCATTGAATACTTATTGATGCATAATCTATCAGCTGTAACAGTACACATACTTTAAGCATGTACAAAACCTAGAATTATATTTCCTATTATGTTCATATTATTACTTCTAATACATTAAAGTGTGACACAGTTTTAATTAAAAAAATGTTTTTTCCCCCCTAGACACTGTGGCTATAGCAAAGCTGACCAAGAAGGAGATGAAGAACTTTACTTTCATTGTAAGTGCTTTGCTGTTATTTCATCCAGGAGATTCCAGGCCAATTACAGTAGATTGGTCCTGGCACTAATAGAACAGTGACAGTGTTAAAAGAACATTTTTGCTGAGAACAAAGATTTTAAATTTGTGTAAACAGCAAATGTAAAGTTAAAAAAAAATCTTCCAAAGTAACATCATAAATTTTATTACGGGGCTCTGTTATGCAGGTAGTCCTCACTTAGCAACTGTAATTGGGATCTGCAATTCCATCACTAAGCACCACAATTGCTAAGCAAAAAAATCATATGACTGCCATGGGCTTTATGACTCACTTCCCCCTTTAATTGTTAAGTAAAACACCATGGTTGTTGAGCAACATATGTGACTACAACTTACGATTTTACTTTGCCTTCCTTTATTTACTCTGCTTATTGAAAGCCAGTTGTAAAGCACACAAATAGTGATCATGTGACCGTAGGACACTGCGATGGTCATGAATTCATACCTGTTGCAAAATGCCTGACTGGCAATCAGTGACTGCCGGATGTTGTGATTTTCATAAGTTCAAGGATTGATCACAAAGCTACTTTTTTTTACACCATTGTAACTATGACCGGTTGCTAATCAAGGCAGTCAGTAAGCGAGAACTATCTATATGCTTCTTTCCAGTTCACAACCTTTGGATGAACATGCAATAGTTTCTTAATCATTCTTCTGGAGCAAAGATGATTGATGTAATGAATAATTGTTGGCCCAGTAAATTTTTGATTATGACATTTATATATTTTCTCAGTTGTACCCAAATTGAATAACTAATAATGATAAATATATATGATGAAAATAATAATAATGTTTCTTTCAAAATTTGTTTTCAGTAAATAGCCAGCATGAAGTGCGAAAGTGTTTTATGTTGAAAATAGCCCAGTCAATCAAGATTTAACTTATCCGTGAACTGTATCAACTAATTTGTGCATATAGACATGAATTGAATATTTGAATTGTTTAAAGACAATATCAGTAATTGTCGATGTGAATGTAATCTTGTGTACTAATATGTGTATTATATTTATTTCACTAATTCTGTAATCCTCAACATTTCCATAGGAATAATTACTATCTAAATATGTATCCATCAGATTACAAAATTTTCTAAATTTTGTCAATTTGCTACTCAGAACCCAAACAAATATTTGATAGTATAAAATTAAATTAATATTTATTTAAATTTGGAGTTTGATTTTCATTGTATCAATATTTCTGTTGTGTTTTATATTTTGTATTCTATTTTATTGTGAGCTGCAGCAAATGCTTATACAAGCAGAAAGATGGAGTAGAAATATATAGGACAAAAATTGTATATTAGGGGAAATTGCTTACCAAATGTGGATGCTAAGAAAGTACATAGAAAATATGCATACCAAGAGAAATGTATATAATAGTTCATTCAGTAGTTTATGAAAATATTTTTCTACATATGAAGTGATGCAGAAGAATACAGTTGGAAAAATAAGTGTCTGAGCAAAAGTGGAAATAACAGACTCACTCATCACACTTAGGAGATCAACAAGAGAACAGTTGTGAATGCAGATATGTGCAGGACGATAATTATTTAAATCAATGGACATTTTTAGTTAAAATACTGGAATTTCAGAATAAGGTAGAAATAACAATTATATATATTTAATAATCCAGATTATATGTTCACTCTGCCAAACCACCTGGATTTAGCTTTTCCCCCTCAAATTTAATAACTAATGATGATGTTAATCACACCTTAATATCTGGTATTCATGTCCATACAATGAATAAGAATTCCTCCTCAGCCTGCTTGACAATTATTTTAAAGTTTCATGATTTGGTGCAGACTTGCCCATTTGTATAGTCAAAATATCTATCTACTTTTTCTACTCCCTTATTTTGCAAATCTGTTGAACAATCAAATGATGAATGGAAAATATACATATATTAAATAAAAGCTACTGAAATGAATAAAAAGCCACAGTACAGTAGCTAAAGGATTAGTTTAAGACTACTAGCCATAGAAATTTTACTATAGCAATTCCTTGTGCTCAGCACTGGATAGACTGTGCAGTTTCTTCAAAGGAGGATTTCATAATGCATAGGAGCATATAAGAAACAACTATGTTCACACTGTAAAAGCAGCTGCGTCTTTTCTCAGCTTAAGCAATTGCTTCCGAAATGGTTCCCAATTGTTTCCACATGTGTGTGTTCACATAAACCCACTTTGCTTCTTATAAAAATTAGGAAAGGGGTGCTTTGTACAGATCCCCACATATTCCAAATTACATTTTTTTAAGGATTTGGTTTTTTAGTAACTGGAGATTCAGATCCATGTTAAGTCAGAGTTTATATTTTCTTTTTCCTCTTTTCGGAAAATCAGAGCAGCCTGTATTTGTTCAGCTCATATGACAGCATTAAAATCAATGTATGGTGTTTTATTGCTTTCCCTCCTTTGATGACTGTGCATGGGAGGTAGATTTTTAAGAAGCTAGCAGCTGCAAGGGGAAAGGGGGGGGGGAATTACTGAAATTCTCCTTCTTGATCTCTAATGGAAGCCTTCCCTCAGCGAAGGAAAACAGTGAGTTTCACTCTTCACAGAGCACAGGTTGAAAACATCCTGTCTAAATCAAGCCTTACTGAGGAAACTGAAAACAGTAAAGAGGATCAGTATTACAACGTTCTCATTCGTTTTAAAAATAATGCAATGGCAGATATCCCACTGGTGAGATGGAACTATATTAAGAGTGTGAGAAGCTTAATAATAGTGTCTCGTTTTAGTTGCAGTGTGAATCTTCACATATTTAAAATAGTGCTTTTAAAAAAAAAGCCCTTCCAAATAATATCTGACAAGAAAGTGCAATCAATTTGGGGTGGGGGGAGGGGAGAGGAGGGCTTTCATGTGTATGTGTCTATAAGGGAAAGTGCTAGCCAAAGAATGTTTTTCCTCAGCATGCACTAATTTTTAAAATGATATGTTTGGGGGAAATTATAAACAGGTTAACAGCTTAGTCTTAATTGTCAGAAACTAATTTTGAATATAACATTGTATTCCTTCATTATATTCCTTTCTAGAAGCTCAGTTATCCAATATTAAGGGAAGTTAAAAGCAGATTATCTATCATAAATTCTTACTTTTTTTCTTCTTTTCTCATCTCATTATATTCTTTTCAGTGTCTTTAGACAGAAAGCTTAGTTTTTAATTTGATATGGTCATTGTTTGAAAGGAAAAATTAAATAGTGTGCTGTATTCACTACAGGTAGTTCTCAACTTATGACCAACTGCTCAAAGTTACAACAGCTTCAGAAAGGATGTTTTATGGCTCATAAAGTACTTGAAGCTGTTGTAAAATGTCGTGCCGCTACCCCCACCCCACCCTGCAGTCACATGTCTGCATTTTGGGCAAACAGCTCACATTCATGACTAGTCGTTAAGTGCCCCACAGTCACGTGACTGCATTTGCAGTCTTCTCTGCCGCCTTTCCCAGAAAGTCAGTTTGGAAGCCAGCAGGGAAGGATGCAAGCAGAGGGGACAGAGGAGTGCTGAAATACCTTGTGGGGCTACAGGAAGGGAGCTGAAGCTTCCTGAACCACTAGACAGGATTTCCCTTCCATGCATAGAGAGAAAGATAAATCCTTTGTAAAGCTCCAGAAATGAAACTGAAATCCTTAGATATCAGGTCAATTCCTAAAGCTCCATGAAGGATTTTCCCTCTGTTCACTGAAGGGAATAGAACCTCTTTGTGGGGCTGCAGGGATGGATCTGAAATCCTAAAGATCTCAGCTCCACCATGCAGGTTCGTCAAAGATTTTGCCTCCCTGCGCATAGGGAAATGGAAATTGTTTTGGTGAACTGCAGGAACATTTGAGAGAGAAAAGGCTGCCAAGAGGATTTCATCTCTGTGTGGAAATTAAATTCCTTAGTAGGCAGCTCTTTTGCCCCATCAACTTAACAATCCAGGAGTTTGCCTAATGACTGCAACTGTGAATGCCAGGTTTGGGATCATTGAGTGAAGCAGTCACATGGGTGTCTTGCTTAACAACCATTTCACTAAGCAATTGAGATTCCAGTCTTAAATGTGATCATAAGTCAAGGACTACCTGTAGTCATTTCAATTTTGCATCCTTTTGTTCCTGTACAATCCAGACAATTTGCTGACATATTGAAGAAATTAGACTTAATTTTAATAGTAAACAATAATAGCAACTCTTTAACTAGCTCAGAGCACAAGATTGGACAGAATATCCAATCTTCTGTCTCAGTTTTTACTGAAAGTTTTTACTTTTCAATAATTTCAAATATTACATTTTAAAGTATATAGAAAGATACGGTAGAAAATTTCAGTTAAGCAATACCAATTTACATTTTGTTTACCCTTTCTGTTTTCTTTTAGCAGTGCCTCTGAATCTGAACAACATTACTTCATGTTGATATGCCAAAAGAGCTTTGGCATGTCAAAGTGTTTTATGACAGCTTGAATAAAGTACCATCAAAGACCCATTTGAAATTCACAAGGTTACCTCCAATGCAGGCCCTTACTATAAGTGCAAGGAGAAGGTTCATTCTCCATCTCCTTGCCTGAAAGCATAATATAGATAGTTAACCTGTTGTTTTCAGGCTGTGCCTTTTTTGCTTTGGAACATAAATAAGAATGACTATCTTATCAGTTCCAGAAACTGAGCCATTATCATTAGTACTGATCATATTATTGTTTTCACTTAGTCAAAAATGCTATGCAGAAAAATTAACATTTGCAGAATATTTGCATAATATATTACTAGCATTGCATTTCTATGTATTTATATGAAACAGGTATGACAATTGACAACTCAAATGCTACAGTTTGTTATTCATTTGCCAAGGAATAAATCTCACTACACACAAAGGGATTTGTTGCTGAGAAGATATATGTAGATCTGTTGGGCCTGATCATTTCATTGATAGCATTTTGGAAAGTGTTGAAACCAATGTCTAAACATTTCTCCTTAGGAGTCTTCACTTTTATTGTCATTTCCCACTCCATTATTTTTTTTAAATCAAAGCAGAACATTATTATTTTTTTCTCATTCCTTGCCCCTCCCTCCCTTGAAATGGTAGTCTTTCAACAAAAGATGTTTTCTGAAAAACAGAGTTCATTCCCTTTTGGCCAGATTGAATATGCAGTTTTTGGGATGACAAACTTTTGATAATGCTGATCAGTCTGTTTCATATTCACCCTTGGGCAACAGGTTTAAACCAATTGTCAGAACAAAGGCCAAATTCTTCATAATGGCACTGAACTCAGAAATACATACACATATTCCATAATGCAGATATATGGACATATATGGTATAACTTTTATATAATAAAATATGATTAACATTGTTTGGACTATAGTATCATTGAAAAGTATAAATTACAGGTGGTCCTCAACTTTCAACATTTTAAAGCGGTCATTAAGTGAATGCCGTGGTCGTTAAGCAAATCTGTTTTCTCCATGGGCATTTTTTGCCAGAAATTGGAAGTAAATACCAGAAACCAACAAAAAAATGTCACAAATCATGATCATGTGACCATGTCATGCTGCAAATGGGTGTTAGGATGAGCAAGTTGAGATAACGTTGGGGGAGGAACAGCTGACATAACTTCAAAAACAGGTTGTAAGTAGCTCTGTAGAGATTTGTCACATGTTTGAACAGTCATTAATTGACCAGTCATAAGTCAAAGACTAACTATAGTGCTTGTTAGGACCAAATATAATTTGTGCTTCCAGTTGCTAACTCAAAAAATACAAGTACAGTTTGAACAATGCCTGGCATAGTTGCCTATACTGGGGAAAAAAAGAAACTGAGGTCTTATTTATTAATCTGTCTTCCATTTGATCACCCTGTAAAATTGCTGGCCATAAACATAAGCAAATCTGAGTGTTTCTGGAAAAATACTTGATTACCTTGTATACCAAATATTTTCTAATGCAATCACCCTGCTTTCTCCTTGTGTGCTTACAAGAGATCCAGATGAAAAAGAAATCCCATTTATAAAATGTATTTATACCACATTTATATTGTATATATATATATTCTGATAATATAATTAGAATAGAAAATCTGTTAAGGAAGAAAAATCAGAATGTCTTTACAATGTTTGATTGTTTCAGCTAGGATTCCCTCATGTGGAAGCACACTTGGTTTAACAAAAGCTTCCCAGTTCTAAGGAATATTTTATGTAATTAAATCTCGGGGTTGGATGCAACATAAATGGTTTGCTTCATCACAGTCATGCTTTCTTACATCATTACAGTTAAATTTCCAGGCACCAAAACCTACATTGACCCTGAAACCTACGAGGATCCCAATAGAGCAGTCCATCAATTCGCCAAGGAGTTAGATGCTTCCTGTATTAAAATAGAGCGTGTGATTGGTTCAGGTAAGGTGACTGGCTTCATATACGATTCTTATGTTTAGGCAAATCAAAACTCACATTTCATGGTGACAAGCAAATAGTTATATTTAGTTATGAAGCTTTTGCTGATATCAGGGTAATTAGAGGCAACGGATGTAAACCAAATATGTAAAAAAAAACAAACGGTGGTCCCAAACATTTGTTTTTATTTAGGAAAAAATAAATACCGTTGTATATTATAATTCAAATAATTTGTTTTGGCTTACACATTATTTCAAGAAGAAATTGCACTTGAGTTCAAATGCAGATTCCTTATACACTTCACCAAATGCTTTCATTAAATTACAAATGGAATCTATGTGCATATAAAGGATATTTCTCTGAAGTTAGATCATATTTGTCCAACTAGGAGTTGGTTTATAGAGCCAGTTTTTCTTCAGGGACTATTTTTGATGCCATTCCTAACACATTTCATTGAAGTTCTTGTCTTGGCTCTTATGGGTGATGGTAATTGTGCTGTCATTACATTGCTTTCTTTCCTTTTTCCACATTCCGTGCTCTGAAAACCTGTTTCCATTTGTTTGCATTAATAAGAGATGTGACACTTTCATTGCACTAGTTCATGTAGTGAAATTAAGTATCCATAGGCAAGAAAGATGTCAAATACCTAAGTCTCCTGGAGGAAACATTCTTTGATTTCCTGTTGTTTTATGGTATATCTTTAAAGACCTTTTTTTTTAAGATCACCATTGCCAGGAGTGTGACAAGTACTATATTGTATACATAATTTTTAAAGAAGAAAATGATTTTGTTAAAAAGAATATATGAAAGACAAATTAATCTTATGAATATTTACATAGAAGTAATTTCCAGTCACTCCTCCACAAATAGCATTTGAATAAAAATTTCTACTCTGTGTTACCACTATACTTATAAATACTTAGCCATAAGTGTTTTCATTTCACAAAATAGGTAATTAACCATGGGAAATGGATCCTCTATGCAAACTGTTGTGTAAGATGGTTCTCTAGTAAGATGACTACTGCTGGAAAAACTGGATTCCTGGGAAAAATTGATTTTATCTTTTTCCACCCTTGGCAGATACACAGGGCAGCTTTTTAGAATCTCCAAATGCACATATACTGTAGAGAGTCACGGAGATGACTTTGGAGACACTAGATACAGACCTCAGTTGAATAAACATGTGTTAAGCCCAGGAAACAGAAAGCTTGAGAAAGAAGCTCAAAGTGACTCCCTCTAATTGACTGGAATAAAAGAGGGAGGAAGTAAAGAAGAAAAAACTCCATCAGACATTCAAGATTCTGTTTCTATAACCTACTTATATCTGTAAAGTATATTCCAGTCAGATTTGTGGAATCTGTTTTCTGACTTTGTCCACCTCAAAGGACTGACATACAAATAAATATCTCTTATTTTGTCCAGAGTTGCAAATTGAAAAGTGCCAGTAGCATAAGTATTTAAAATGATTTTCTTTATAGCTTAACTCAGGAGCCATATTCACCAAAGAATATTAAGAGGGAAATGGTCCAAATACCCTAGATTGATAATCAAGAATGGCTGTCCACATCATTCATAAAATATAAAAGTAGAGAACTTCTCTGCGATGAGTGGCACTGAAATTTCTGCACTTTCCTCTGTTATTCTAGTGCAATTGTCCATGGAATAAAAGCTCTTAGTCTTTCGGTGGTTGATGTGCATGTTTGATTTTGATGACTGCACTGTAATTTTCTGCTGACAAGTTTATGGTAGACAGCAGTGCCTATGTATAATAGGCAATCTCTAGTGTACTGCTTTTTCTGTTGGTGGCATATGGTTTTTTTTTTGTAATTATTGGATTGCTGAAGACTAAGCTAAACTATTGAACACTGAGAACCCGAACTTACAGAACTGAATATTTTTGTATGCCTTTCTTTTGGTGGGTTTCTGTAATTAAGGATGATGTTTAAAAATACTTCTTCATTTGGATTTGATAAAAGGCTGAAATTAAATCCTAGCAAGACCAAGTTGCTGCTGATTCTGTCTTAGTCTCTATGCTAATTCTAGATGGAGTTGCAGTCTCCTTGATGAAGCAGGTTTATAATTTGGGTATCGTCTCGGGCACCTGCTGGAATAATATATGGAGGCCCAGGCTTTGATTAGTGTACAGGTTTGAGTCCTTTTTAGAACAGGAAGCCAATATTTAAATTCTTACTTTTTTGAACTGCTATATAAACTTTAGTTAAGATTGCCTTGAAGACTATTCAGAAACTTTACCAAGTTATTACAGAGATACTACATCAATACTATCGATGCTGCAATGGTTGTCAGCTTGTTTCTTGGTAAATTCAGGAATCAAAGTGCTGATTGTAAAGCCTTATGATCCAGACTACCTTTTTCCTCCAATAAGAATCTAGTTGTTCTCTTTGATCCATCCATCAAGAATGTTCTGGGTTCCTCCTCATTGACAGATCAGGTGTAGTGGAAGCAGCCAGCCCTTTTAAGAACAAGCCAGCATTATCTACCAAAAAGTATATACCTGATCCCTGACAGCCAATAGAAGAAAAGAAGGGAGATCCCTTTGGACAGGAAAAGTTTGGTGTGGCTCTTATGATAAATGGGAGCTACGTCAGGCAAGGTTAGAAATCTACTAATAGTAGATTTTAGAATTATATTAAGGTTTTTGATATGTAAAATGTGTTGTGTGTGTTTGTGGAATAATTTTTTAGGCCCCAAAATTTTTTTCAACAGAGAAACAAAGACTTAGCCCTTTATTTTATTAACTTTATGTAGCCTCCCATTTCATGAATGTGATTCTGGATGGTACAGAGTAAAAACAAAACAATAAAAATACATCTTAAAATAACCATAAAAACCATGAATCTAACATGGAAGTGTTTTATATATTTATACATATATACATACATAGATACATAGATACATACACACACATATACATATACATACACATACACACACACATATATATATATATATATATATATATATATATATATATATATACACACACACACATATATACATATACACACACACAATGTCCCGACCCCATTCCGTATAGGATTTTAAATGTCAAAAGCAGCACCTTGAATTGGATTTGAAAGCAATTTGACAACCAATACAGCTAGTTGAATAGAAGTGAAATGTGTTCCACCCTAGGAGTATCCATAATTGCTGTGCTGCTGCATTCTGTACCAGTTGAAATTTCTGAATACTCATCAAGGGCAGCCATGGGTAGAGTGCATTATAATGGTCTATTCAGGACATGAGCAGCACATGAGTAACTAAGCAGAGCCTATCAATTCAGGAAAAGATGCAACTGGTATACAAATTGAAGATGTGCAGAGGCCTCCTAGCCACAAGCATGAGTTGTTGGTCCAGAAGGACCTTTAAATTGCATACCAGTTCTGCTTGGGGCAAAGCCACCTGTTCAGTACCAAATGTGGTAAGGTTCTAAATCCAGATAGTCTGTTGTTCTCCAGCTAGACCCTCATAGCCTCTAGGCATCGAGACTGAATATTAACAGCATCAGGGGTAGATACGTACAATTAAATATCATTAGCATACTAATGATCCTCATTCCATGGAGGTGAATGATCTCACCCAACAGTTTCATGTAGATGTTTAACAGGAGTGGAGAAAATACCAAGCCTTGCAGAAGCCTGCATAGTAAGGGTCAAGGATGGGATCTCTTAATCCCAATCAACACGAACTGGTACTGACAAGAAAACCAGCACAATACAATACATCCCACTCTCACTCCATGGAACCAATCCAGAAGGATACCACGGTCAATAGTATAGAAGACTACAGAGACGTCAAGTAGAGTAAGCATGGATGCACTAACCAGTGTCATCTCCATCACATACCCAAGCCTGAATTTTCACCAAAAGGGATCCAGATAACCTAGTTCATTAAGAGTCCATTAAAACTGCACAGTCTTAATAACCTTTCCTAAAAAAGGAAAATTAAACACTGGATTTAAATTGCCCAGTATGGTGGTATACAGCAATGACTTTTTGAGGACAAGATGAACCAACACCTTCTTAAGAGGTGGAGGAAAGCCCCCCATCTCAAGGAAAACTTCACCACTGCAAAAACCCATGTATGCAATACACACATTATAACCCAGCAGCCTTGGTTAGTTAGCCAAGACGGACAACCTAAGGAGCAGCTTGGCCAAACTCATAGTCATGGCCGAGTCATATATATCCATTTCCTCAGGTGCAATAGGTTTAAACCAGGGTATCAAACTGCCGGATGCATCATGCCGAAACCATGCCCACCCCAGTTCTGGCAATGGGGAAAAGGTCACGATACGTCACAACACGTCACATGACGTTGCAAGTTTGACACTCCTGGTTTAAACCATTTTTGGATTAACACAGGAATCTCAACAGGTCCTACACCAAAGTTCTCCTGCAACTAAGGGGGAACAAAATGTGACTGAATTCTTAAGTGCTTAAAAGAGGATTTTAAAACTGATCATTTTTAAAGCATGGAGGGTTTTTCTTAATTTCTTATTTTCTATTGTTGTTCCTTTATGGCTTTTTGCTTGTGCCCATAATCTCTGGAGCAGGAGAGTGTGACTGAAAGGATGTTTAAAACTCTTCAATTTTTTAAGTGTTGAACTTTGCTTGGATTAGCTTTTGTCCTCTTACTGGTTTGATTTTCATTTTCCAATATATGGAAACATTGTGCCTTTTTCTCTTATCAGTGTGAACTAAAATGATTCTGTTGCGAATAAATGTTTCTTTAAATTCAGGAGAGTTTGGCGAAGTATGCAGCGGTCGTCTAAAGCTTCCAGGCAAAAGAGATGTTGCAGTGGCCATTAAAACCTTAAAAGTGGGCTATACTGAAAAACAAAGAAGGGATTTTCTTTGTGAGGCAAGCATCATGGGACAGTTTGACCACCCCAATGTTGTTCATTTGGAAGGAGTTGTTACCAGAGGTAAGTTGCAATCAGTTGTGATTTTTGAACAACTTTCCAAATTGTACCTCATTGTTATAAAATTTCCATGGTACGTGGTTCAAATCAGATCATTGTACTACATAAAGTAATGACTTTTCCCCCCTCTTTTTGTGCATGACTAACTAAAGCGATATTAAATGTATCCTACAGCTTGAGGGGAAAAAAACTTAAAATTTTTGCATGAAGAAAAGATGGCAATGCTTTGTAGCAATTTTTTTCCTAGTCACATTTAACATTAAATAAAATTCTCAATGTCTTTTCTTATTAAATGAAGTGTCGTGTTTCCAGAGTTCAGTTCACACAGCAGGAGACAGAAGAACACACTGACATTTTGATTTGTATGGTTTGATTTTTTGAGTCATGATCATTTTCTGTACAGAGACATTTAAGGACTTAGTAGATCACAGGAACTATTTTGGAAGCATTAGGAGCAGTCATGCCTCATTATTCATCTTTCAAAGAAACAACATGTTTTATCAAAATGGGGACATTCTGTTCAGATACAATTTCTTTAAACCAAATATGCCTCCCTTTTTCTATTTCTTCCTTTTAGGAAAACCAGTAATGATTGTAATAGAATACATGGAGAATGGAGCACTGGATGCATTTCTCAGGGTGAGTGCCTGAGGGAAACATATATAGCACTTCAAAAATAAAATATATATGCTACCAATTTAACATAATAAAACATTTTCAATGTAAAATGAGAACACACTAAATTTTAAGAGATCTCTGAATGGTCTTGGTAAAATCAGATTAGAAATTAGAAGACCAGACAGAATCAAACAACATTTTTGGCCATCTAAGTGATCCAACATGGCACAGATACAGTGGTTTTGATTAGCATCACACACTAGGACCTGGAGCCATGTTGTGGGAACACAGTTATAGCTTTTCTCCATTGAAGAAAAGACAGTCTTTAAATTAATGCAGAAATAGTTCAAAAATCATGGAAGTACTTTTTTAAGATCCCTACATTAGCATTATTTTACATGAGTTTATTGTTTGTGGCAGACAACATATAAAACTCTAACTTGGCCCTTAGGAGCATTCATTAATATTAATGAATATGAATAAGATTAATAGCAAAATATATTTCAAGGCTTTTAAAGTACAGTGTGGATTTCACTGCCAATCTTTTCGGCAATTGGTTTTCTGTCAATAATCTGTGCTTCTGATTTGCATGTATATGGGTACATGTGTGAATGTTCTATTTGTGTTAAGAGGCTAGATTTATTGTGTCTTTTTCATGGGATTAGCTTGTTCTTTTGATTAAAATATCCAACAGCATGAAATAAAACTTGAGAAAGCAATTCTGCTCAGGTATTATTATGTGAATAAATATGTTTGGTTTATAAATATGGGATTGGTTTTTTTTAGCTGCAGTGTGGAAAATTGAAGACACATAAGGTTTTTGATAATTTGTGCAAATTTAAAAGTTTCTCATTTGGGATAAAAGAATTTAAAAGGATGGAATTTTCTGCTCTGCTTATTTTGTTCTTTATACAGATTTATCTAGCTATTTTTATACCTCCCTGATTTATTATTGTTATTATTAATTATGCAGGATTACACAAATGAGTGTATGCATGAATAACTTTTAGTATAAATTTGTATTTCCCCCAAATACTAAAGGTCATAATGTACAGCTACAAACATGCATATGCTATAGCAGGGGTCCCCGGTACCGGTCTGTGGGCTGTTAGGAACCGGGCCGCACAGTTGGAGGTGAGCAGCAGGCAAGCGAGCAAAATTAAAACTATTTCCCCCCCCCCCCCGAGTCTGTGAAAAAATTGTCTTCCACAAAATCAGCCCTGGTGCCAAAAAGGTTCGGGATTGTGCTATAGTCTTCATTATTTTAAATTATTAATTTTTAAATAATTTAAATTAATAATTTAAACATTAACTAAATAATTTAAATAAACATCATGCCCACTTCCTTCAAAAAATGATGCTTACAATGTATGGAATCATATTTTTGAATTGTAATGTTTTTTCCATTTTTAAAACATTTCAACAGTACTACGATGAATGAATAATGAATGAATGAATACAGAGATACACACACACAAATATACTTACATAATAAGAATTTGCGCACATGCTTTCAGAACATAAAAGCACACATTTCGTTCCTTAAACACCCCTAAAATGGATTCCAACATCACTTATATTCAAAGATCAGCTCTCAAGCCAAAGAAAGTTATGTACGCCTGTCTGAATGCCATCCTGCATTTAGATTCTAAAAGGTAGAGATTGAACATGTGTACTTTCTTTCCTCTCAGGTACTTTAAGCAGCATCTCTGTTTCTGTCTTCATTTCAGAAACACGATGGGCAGTTTACAGTAATTCAGCTGGTTGGGATGTTGAGAGGAATTGCTGCTGGAATGAGATACTTGGCAGATATGGGATACGTACACAGGGACCTAGCGGCACGCAATATTCTGGTCAATAGCAATCTTGTTTGCAAAGTATCGGACTTTGGTCTATCCAGAGTTATAGAAGATGATCCTGAAGCTGTCTACACCACAACTGTGAGTTGTACATTTAAAAGGAAAAAAAACCCCACTCTACTCTAATTTTCATACACAGTAAAATATTAGATTGGGTTTGCTTTGGAAGAGAATGTACCAGATATTTATTAGGAAGGGAGGTTGTGCTTTGTCGGATTTTGTAATTTTTTTTACTTAATAAATACTCATATAAAAAACTGCGTACTACAACATCGTCACTTATGCTATAAGTAGAACATAAAACTCAGTCACAAAATATCCCCAGATGTTGTAGATCATCCAGTGTTCTTTCTGCTTTCCCTTCCCCTTTCTGATTTCTTGGGGAACTGTTTATTCATTCAGACATTTTGTCCTCTGGAAAATGTTTATATCATCTAAACACCAGTGGCTTTCTAATTGAAACATCTTTTATTTCTCAAAGATTAGTTCCCATTGAGGGAACCTTCATTTAACTATCCTTGACCATTATCCTAGACTTAAACTCTTAACAAGTCATCTTATTAACAAAATAATTGGTTACTAAATTTATTGTATCACAACACTATGACTACCAGAAATGATGATGTGATAAACCTCTACATAAGTCCCTCAAAATTGTTTAAAATAGCAGGGGGGTTTTAAACAAAAAAAAATTAAATTACCTTAATACTGTTTGGGAACTCTCGTAATAGGGGAAGCAGCCGTCCATTATTTAGAGTCCTGTTTATGGAATGCATAAGTTGAAATGCTCAGAAGTGGAAGCTGTAGAAGCAGCAGGACAAGGGTCTTCATAAACCATCATAAAGGTCCCAAAGAGATTACTTGTTTTCAGCGTTGTTTTGCTTTTTGGAAACCTGCATTCTCTACTGGACACAACTCCAGAGTTTTTTGGTTTTTCATTTATAAAACGAAGCAAATTTTGAGAAGCAATAATATGGAATAGGGTGAACAATTTTGATCATCAAGTGAGATTGGGAAACTTTGCTGTTATTCTTTCTTAATCAATGAAAAATCTAAGACTTGAGTGGTGCGGTGGATATCAGGAAGGAAAAGTAAAAGGTTATGCCCAATAGTTGCTGGGTTTATCTACTTCTGATCTAATTAGAGGACAATGGTAATAGTGTCTAAAATGTTTGAAATACTATGTACTAACCAATAGACATGCTTGGATATATATGCGCCACCACTGAGCTGTGGTAGCGCAGTGGTTAGAATGTAGTACTGCAGGCTAATTCTGCTGACTGCCAGCAGTTCAATCCTCACTGGCTCAAGGTTGACTCAGCCTTCCATCCTTTCAAGGTCGGTAAAATGAAGACCCAGATTGTTGGACGCAATATGTTGACTCTTTAAACTGCTTAAAGAGAGCTGTAAAGCACCGTGAAACAGTATATATGTCTAAGTGCTATTGCTATATGCAGTGAGCTTGCTTCAGAAACTTTCTTCTCCCATAGGGTGGCAAAATTCCAGTAAGATGGACAGGTCCAGAAGCCATACAGTACCGGAAATTTACATCAGCAAGTGATGTATGGAGTTATGGAATAGTCATGTGGGAAGTGATGTCTTATGGAGAGAGGCCTTACTGGGACATGTCAAATCAAGATGTAAGTTGCCAAAATATAATTATACTGCTTATAATATGATAGAATTGGAAAAGTCAAACTTACAAGCAAAATGGCCAGGATATTTTACTCCCAGGAGCACATAAGAAGCTTTAAAGTAATAGCCACATATATTTTATGAATAACTTAATTTATAAGTTACATTTATTTTTCCTATTCTTAAAGTTAGCCTTATGCAAACTTTGTGATCATTCAGCCAACATAGTACTACAATTACAGTACCTAGGTATTTTGTTTATGATTGCTTAGTTACTGGCTATGGTACATAATCATAAAATAATTTTAAAAAGGACAGATAGACAGAATTAGAAAACAAAAGGTGTATCAAGGTTGTTCAAACATAAATGATTTTGTAGACTTTATTTCTTCTCTTAAAAACACCTGGAAGAAAAATGAATTTTTTTGTGTGTCATTTGAACATTCTTTATACCCAAAAGTTGCTATATTATATTCTACATGCAACTAAAATCTTTATGAAACAGGGTATTTAAATACAGGTTTATGAACATTCTTTTTCCTCAGAGGATATCTTTCTATTTTTTTTAGTCTCCACACCTATACTTATATCTCAATATTTCTGATCCAATAGTTATATTACAAAATTCAAAGAATTAGAAATCCAAAGACAAATTACAGTTTGATGAACAAGTTAATCCAGAAATTGATTAGTAGGTTACCTGGACACAAGAGATCGCACAAATCAATTTCTTATAAGTGCTTCTTTCTTTAAAGCTAGTTGTGAGAATTTTCTTAGGCATGTATGGAAATATTTTTATATTTGGATCACCAACATAGAGAAGCAGCCAAATTCAGTAAATAATACTGAAAATAAATAAATGAAATAATAAAGGTATCTAAAAATTACAAGAGAGGAAAGGAGAAATGAATAATCTTTCATCTCTCACATTTGTGTTCTATAATTTATTGCAGCTGTCTTTCCATTACCTTCAAACAAAATAATATAATCCTTTTATAAATGGAAGAAGAAATATTCTGAAATAAGATAACCTAGTATACACCTTCTTACTATCTTTAGTCATAGGGTTGAAAGTGTCGTATTTTTTTCTTTATAAAACATGTAGTCAACTCCACACCCTAAATCTTAGCCTCGGGCTTGTTTATGCAGGTGTAGATTAGAAGTTGTTTTCACAGGATCCAATATAGGTCTTTTAAAAGAATTTGTTGGTCCTTTTCTATGGATGTGAACTCCTTCGATTAATGTTTTTGAAGATGTTTACTCCTTATACAAAATAGACTTATATGCAGGTAAGAAAGAGTCCTTGATCTTATCAAAACTTTAAGCATAATAGTGCCTGACTTTACAGTCAAGATCAGGAAAACTTCTAAACTACAAAATAGTTTGGCCTTCTTTACAAATGTATGGGTGGACTGCTGCAAATATTGCATTTTTTTAATGATTACTATGACATTAGTCCTTCATGCTGTTTCAGTGCAGTCATCTGAAAAACTTTATACTAAGGGCATTCTTATCTCTTATCAGCAGATAAGATTCATGAGGGATTTGTAGAAAGTTAACAAATATATATATATTTGTTTTCGTAGATTTTCACAGGTACAGGTATGCAGGTCTTGGTGTATTCGGGTCTTTTCCCATGTAAGATTGAGAGTATCTTGGCGACGTTTCGACGAGGTCCCACTCGTCATCTTCAGGCTGGGGTCTTCAGCTTCGTGCTTGTGCGAGCAAAGTGTGATCGGAGCTGCCGTCTCTCTATAAATATTGGTGAGGGTGTGTGGAGTGCTGGCTTTGTTGCTGTAGGTGGGTTGGTTGGCTGTGTTGGAGTTATTGTTTGCGGATTACAAAACAGCCGAACAATCCGCAAACAATAACTCCAACACAGCCAACCAACCCACCTACAGCAACAAAGCCAGCACTCCACACACCCCCACCAATATTTATAGAGAGACGGCAGCTCTGATCACATACATACATATAATTTTCTGAGGTTTTTTTATCTTCTTGAAAATAATGGTTTACTTCCATCAGTGGAATAGATTGACTATAGGGACATTACTGTTAAAAATCCATCAAAGAATAGTCTAAAAGAAAGATATCAAAGCATTTCCATTCTGGTTTGAGCAGTTGGGTATTATAGATGCCAATTGGCAAGAGAAAGGATATTGTTTAAATCTAGAAAAATAGGTTGTATGACCAGGCAAGTAAGAAAATTCATGCTTTCTTACCTTATTTAAGCCAGTCATATACAAATCTTGAGCCAGAAAATGAAATTAGAGCATTATGCAGTTTGCTTAGCAGTTTGCACTGTATTTCATTTCATTTACAATATTTGAAGCTTATATTAGTCTATAAAATCTAAGATTAGGAATTTAATAAATAGATACCCAGGATTGCAATCACGATATTTTCAATTAATATCCATCAAGGGTTATGGAAACTCTAATCCCAAAATTTTGTAGGGTACTACACTACCTACCTCTGTTACAATGATAGGGTAGTGGCTGAGATGTCATTATATTATTAATATTATTAATATTAAAAGATCTAGGCCAGGTTCAAGTCGCCATTTGATAAATAACCTCACAAAATGATTAATTTAGTCATTTTCTTTTACTCTAATTTAATTCACATGTAGGATCACATGACAACTAATCCCATATATGTTGCTTTGAGCTTTTTAGAGAAAAGGTGGAATATAAATTATGAATAAATATCAGAAGAAAATGTAAGAAATAATAAATACACTTAAAACATTTGAAAAACTCTGGATTTATATAAGATATCAGTGCATTTTGTTTTCATTTTTATTCATTGGATCACGACCCATCATGAAACACATTAATTAAATTCTATTTTACTATGTAGAGAAATAAGAAGATATCAGAAATAAATGAAATTTCTGTCTCCAAATCAGCAGTCCATTGCAATGTTTTATATTCTACAAAAATACAGCATATATCCTAAAATAACTTAATTATATATTTATAAAGCAAATAATCAGTTCATTAGTGAGCACTGGACTATGACATTATGTGGTATTGCTATTGATTGGCAATATGTGACTACGAGTTGGCAAGACGGAACAAGTGATTAAATGTACAAGTATAAAAAGGAAGAGTTTATATAAATGACATCATACATAGTTTTCATCATTTCAGCATCATCGTGACTAAGTATGGGCACCTGTGTATGTGACAGTATGAAGCGAAATTAAATTAATTGTTTAATCAATCAATTAAAATCTGTTTCATTGAGGAAATACGTGAGTCACTATGACTCATAGTCGTAGCTGAATGCAATGCAATGTAATGTAGAGCTTCTGAAAAGCGAACAACCTGTAAAAAACATCCAGCTTCTTCTGAGTCCATTTATATTAAGCAAGACTGAATTTCTCCCAGGAGGATGGAAAACAGTTGCATATTCATTGCATAAATTTGCTGCTGAATAGCCTTCTTCTCCTGCCTGCTGTTTATCTACAGGCAGGAGTTATTTTTTTTCTCTCCTATTGGAGTGGGAGCAGAACATAAAGCAAAGGAGGGGAAGGGGCTGATTACACAGAAGGAGGAATTTTTCAGCAAAAGTGGAGCCATTGTGGATGTAATATCTGATATGACATCACATGTTGCATTAAAGTCAATGCTATTATTGCAGTCTTACCATAGTGATATTATGTGAGAATCAAATCAGAGTTGCCAAATGCAATTTCATTTCATCTGGAAATAACACTATTTGTAAATAAACACTGCTCTGTATAAATAAAGATATGGAGAGAACATAATGTTTCTCTAACAGTTCTTAAGAGTGAGTGATAGAAATCAAAGATTAGGGCAAGGTTGAATTTTATCAACATTACTTTTATATAAAATCTAAATTATGAGTCATTTCGGCAGAATGAAAGTTGTTAATATTTGACAGGTCTCAGTGTCAGAGATTTCATGGACTGTCAAAATATGGGCAAACAAGTCCTTGGGGCAGAGAAAAAGAAGTATTGACATTCCCAAGACACTCAGTAGAGTTTCATTCCTTTTGACACCTTCTTTCTGTACCAGATTCAACATAAAAGATGTTTGGCAGGAAGATAAGATAGCTGGAAGGCAAAGCTTACCTATCTTAAAAAAAAAAAAAAACTAAGGAAACGCAAAATCAATATTTTCTTTTGCTGAAGTTTTGCATTGAGCTTGTGCTATTTGCTTGTCCCGTAAATAGCTAAATAAAGCAAATTGTTTCCCAATTATAAAGAAAAAATAGATTGGGATTATTTTAATAAGCTTATAAATAAAACATTTCATGCTTGATAAAAAAAAGCTTCCAATATTTTAGGGAAACATAATGTATTTTCTATGCTTTATCTACTCTTTTGCAGAAGAAGAACCATTTCCATATTAGTGATTTATACTATTTTTTTAAAAATCATTTTTTATTTCATTCAAAACATTAAAATACAAACTCCCAAAAAAGAAAAAAAATGCAAAACAAGGCTAAACAAGACTACACAAAAAGTGCATAAATAAAACAAACATATAACAAAATAAACATACATAATCCCCCCAGTTGAATACTAATAAATATATTTTTAAGATAATAACTTCTCCCACCTTGTGAAGCAGGCAAACAATTTATACATTTCTACAACACTATTTACTCAACTCACTTAGCCTAATATCTATCTAGTATATGAAAACATAGTTAACAGTAAAACCAACAGCTAAATTAAACTTCTAAAACCCTCTGTTAACAATCTATTTATTGTATTTCATCACAGAAAATCCACAACGGCTTCTGGTCCATTATAAGTCACAGCAATCATTGTCTCTAGTCTGTCAAGGATCAAATATCCTTGATTGATTATTAATAATAAGGCTTTTTCTTAAGTTATGAAATGGAATATTTTCTAACAATTGAAATTAATTCCCCAAAATCATAAGTCTCTATTGGCTCTATCTATCAACAGCATTTGTTGTACAAAAAGTTTCCTATAAATTGTAACATAACGTCTCTTAACATTTGATTTATACTATCTTAAGAGTGTCTCCAATAAAGACAGGCTCTATATTGGCTGGATGAGAGTGTAAGAGCCTACAGATTGGTAGTGTAGAAAAGGCCAAGGTTTCAAAAACTATATCAGAATATTCAAAAACCATTAAACAAATCCACTTTTATTATTCATATTCTGTGAAATTTGTAATAGATAAATAGCAATTTTCTTAGTTAAATTGCAATGGAAAATAGATTTCTACTTTACATTACAGTAGCAATCTTTATGTTATTTGAGTAGAAATCTTTTCTTAAAGAAAATAAAGTAATGAAGGGAAAAAGCATTTCCATACTGGCAGATATTTTATTCCAATAAAAAACCTAAAGATTTCCTGAGTGGTTGATTTTGAAGTATTATTAACTAACTCCAGCTAAAGCTACATTCATTCAAACTTTGTCTTGATTTAGCAAAATAACACTAGTTTATCTAATTTATATTGCAGTTCTGTGAAAAGGTGTTCATTCCCTTTTGTTTGCTTATCTTTACCACTAAATGTTATCACAGCTTCATGTAGGCCCTAGTAATATATAGATGGAGTCTGAATCAAGTAAAAAAAACATTTTAGTGGTTCTTTGATTTATTTCAAAAAGTCATCCAAAATATGAAGTGCCATTTAGAAAAAGAAATCATTTCATTCCCATTTAATCAATGCAATTAAAAGGATAACTGGGACATGTTTTGAAAGTACTCAATAAACATTCAGGTCTGATTAGGGCCAGCCTACACTATAAAAGTTTTGGATCCCATCTTCTTTGCTTTTTCACCACACAGATTAAATGTGTGGCGAAACCAGATACTAAATCTAAGGGAGTGATTACTTTTTCGGACAGACACTTCACATTATGTTTGTGACATAAGTTAAACAAACATTCAAGTTTGCTGTTAGGTGTTCACTAAAACTGTTTTTATGTTTCAGTAGAATCCACGTGAAGTTCTGATAATATTCAGTGGTATAAACATTCAAACACAGCTGTAATAAATGAAATATTTATTTATGCATTATATAATTCACATTTTCATAAGTGCAAAAGAGACATATTGCCATGCTATCCTGATTAGATAATTTTCACAGTAGTTAGAAAAGAAGACACAGGTGAAGTATTGGCTCACATGGCCAAGCCGAGAGGCCTATTGATGCCTCAGCAAGTTATTTTTCCATTACCCCATTATCTTCCTTTAGTATTCTACTATTCATACCCAGTAACCTGGGCTGCATTAATACTTATGTTTTTTGCCAGAAGCTTCCACTTAGTATTTCCTTCTTCCCTTGGATCCGCCATCCACAAGGTCCTTCATCAATCTCCCAGAGCCGTTCCATTCTGACAAGTGCCTGTGATGTTGCTGTACTAGGAAGATGGTTGCAAAGTTGAAATATTTTTGTTAGAAGTCTCTGTGATACAAATGTATTGCTGAGTGTATATCATGGGTTTTGGAGTGCTGCTTAGGAGGTTCAGTTTTGCTAATGATTTTGAAGGAGTTTCTGTCTGGAATTGCTTGGAATTCCTTTTTTCTTCTGTTTTACTTTTTTTTCCTTCTTCTCTCAATCTTCATGTCTTGTCTTTTCGTTTTTCTTCACCTTCCTCATGCCACTCTTGCAATATCCTAGAGCTTGGCTTAACATCCTTATTCTTTTTTCCCATACACAACTTTTAACTATAGTGGTCCTTGATTTACAACTGGTCCTTTAATGACCATTCAACGTTTCAAGAATTTTGAGAAAAGCTACTTACAACCTGGGTTCGAAGTTCTGATGGCCGGTACGCCCCCATCACATGATTGCATTTGGGGTACTTGGCAACTAGCCTGCATTTATGGCCATTTGCATCATTGCTGGGTCATGTGATCAGCAATTTACTTCCGGTTTCCATTAAAAAAAATCCCCTAGCAAACAATCTGCAGCTTTCGCTTTACGACCACCCCAAAAAGATCATAAAATTGGGCGTAGTCATGAGATGGCCCACTGAATGATCATCATGACTTAGAACCGTAATTCTAGACTCGATTACAGTCATAAGTGGAGGAGTATCTGTAATTTGATCCTCAAAGTCTGCTTAATATAATCATGATTCTGAAGCAGAAACAAAGTTTAATGATGGAAATTAGATGAAAGTGAGAGACTCTTGTTCCAGGTGAAATGTTCTACCTTGACTTCTGTTTCTCATAGGTTGTTCTCTTTTTCTGTTGCAATGTCCTGATGACATTTCAACTATATAAAGAAACCTCAGCTATTCTAATTGCTTAATGAGCTTCCCAACATTCAGAAATAGGGCTGTTTTGCAGGCATTGTGAAAAAAAGGACTACATTTAAATTCTGTCTGCCAAATGCTAGTTATTGTAATATATACCAAATCCAAGTGTGCTCGTGTTACTTCTGCTGCAATAAAAATATGTCTTGCAAAGTCCTGAACACAGCTGTTATATGGCCCATATATAAAGTGAAACTAAAAATTCCATAGTTGACATTCCTAAAGATTTATTTCAGATCCCCCTAATGTTACAAATACACGACTTCAGTTCAAAGCCAGGATTGTGAGAGTGAAGTCGTAACAATGGATAGTTATTCTCAACGTATGGCTAGAGTTAAAGTTTATTTCTAATGGTTTAGCGCTCCATGTACTTTCCATCTACCTAAAAATGCTAGTTGGAGGGGGAGCTGTGTTATTACAACCTCTCCTAAGATTTCCTTGTTTTAATGTGATATTGAAAACCCAAGTCAGTGATTAAATAGTGTGTTTGTGATATGGTCTGGCATATAGATTTGGGTTACATAAATACAGTTCTTTCACCTCGGGAAATCAAATGTATATGTTTAAGCCAGCAAGATACCTTAGAATGATTACAATACCAAAATTCCACAGAGCATTTTATTGGCCTACTTGGAGGCATTGCATTCAGTGGTGTTTGAAGGAAAATGTTAAAAGGAATGATAGCGATGAGCATTATTTCACTTGCAACACAGGAAACATGAAAACAATGGCTCATAAATTGTTATATGCTAATTTCTATAAAACATCCTCCCTCATTATTTATTGAAAGTCCTAAAGGATTATTCAGGAAGCTCAAATACATTTTTATGTAAATTATCTGTTATCAGATGCATATTACACAGTTATAAGAAAGTTGCAAACTTTTGTCAAAGTGCAAGCAAGGTTCAGTAAAGGATTATTTTATTAGCTAAGCAATAAACAAACCTGAAATTTGTTGACAGTGCTAAAATGATCTGCCTATATGCATTTTTTATATATATTACTGATAAGTGGTCAAAATAAAATAGCATATAGCTATTGTTGTAAAGCTGGTGTTCCTACTTGTACATGTAGAACAAGAAGCCACTCATTAATTTAATATTTATATTTTAAATTTTTCACTGCTAATATAATAATATTATTTCCAAAATAAAGGTAAGAAAAATAGCAAGTAATCATTTGTGAAGGAGAAAGGTGGGTTGTTTGGTTTTTGTTTTTGCCACGTACCCATTATGCCATGAAGCCCTCTTTATTATTATCTATGATTTATTTACATTTAAAATATTGTTTTACATTTAAAATATTGTTTTACATTTAAAATATTGGTTTTATTGGCTCAGAAAACCCATGTAAAAGTGTCTAAAACTCTTTTTAAAAATTATGCTTGGCTTATATTTGTTACCCATCACAACAACTTTGTATTGTAATTCCAGAGGATAATACAAAAGAACAAGATTTTTTTTTTTGTATTATCAGTGGAATGCTGTTTTGCCCATTGTGTTGGTATTTTTTAAAAAACCACACCAGTTTATCAATGTTATGTGAATTTTCAAAAGTTTCTTGTGATCCTTTTCTCTGGTTTTGTTTTGGTTATTTCTTTTCTTACTTCGACATCAACAAATCAATGCTGCAAAAAACAATAGTGGCTTAATTGATCTTAGAGATATTATGTTGGTCTACACCATGTTTTAATACTAAACAGTTCACTCAAACATCCTATAGTCAAGCCTTGATTAGATTCACATCTAGTTTGGACTGTTGCTGAGAGGGTCAACATGGGAAAGCACTTTTTTTTCCTTTTTTCTTTTCTATTATCCATTAATTTTCATTTATCCATTTCATTTTCATCTAGATATAGATACCTAAATGTATACGCAGACTATTTAATCATGCTTTGTTTCTGTGCCAGAGCCTCCTGGACAAATAAATATTGCTTTCAAAGAGTATCTCATGTATCCGTTTCTCAATTGCACCCATGGTGAATTTAATTGCTATTCCCTCCTGCTGATTTGACTAGGTAATGCAGCTATGTTATCAGCATACATTACAAAATACTATGATCTGTTTAATAGGCATGGACAATAAAACCAAAATTTACAGTGTTCTACCACTACAGAAATTCTTGTGCTAGAACAGTAGGTTCTATTTGAAAGATATGTTTCATAAAACTTTGCTTGATTTGGTGGATTCTTCATGAGCTGTAAAAATTTAAACTCATGGCGGGTTTTGTTATTAGGTTATAAAAGCAATTGAAGAAGGGTATCGTTTGCCAGCGCCCATGGACTGCCCAGCAGGCCTTCACCAGCTGATGCTAGACTGCTGGCAGAAAGAACGTGCAGAAAGGCCAAAATTTGAACAGATTGTGGGCATTTTGGATAAAATGATTCGGAATCCAAATAGCTTGAAGACTCCTTTAGGAACCTGTAGTAGGTAAGTTATGAATTAGATTCCTAAATTATAGGATAAAATACTAGACAGCTTTTCTTTGTTTCAGCTGTTGTTGACCCATGATTTATTTATTTTATTTCATTTTTTTTATCCCGCCATTATTATTTGGGATAAGTTCAAGCATTCCATATTCCAGATGCTTTTACAAGGGTAAACTAGGTATTAAATCTAGGTTATATTGATGTATATTGATGTTCCTTATCATAAGCCCAAAAAAATGACAGTTATATCTGACCAGATTCCATTTTGGAAAAAAAAGATAATCATTTAGAAATAATATTTTTTTTTAGAATTTGCCCATCTCACTCCAATTAGTTGTTGATTTGCTTAATTAACTTCATACTGGATTACCTCAAGATATCTTTATATGCTGTTGAAACAAATACTTAGTGTAAAATGTGGCCATTTGCCTTCTGGGTAGGATTAGAAGATCAGCATATACTGCTGTTTGAAGGGCAGAAGAATATGTCTACAGAAGCAGTATAATTTGAAGGAATAATGGTAATTTGATTATTGTAACAGAAGTTTGTAGAATTTTATTAAAAATAATTATTTTAAGCATGTTAGGTTTGATATACCTATTCTTTGCTTATTTTGTTTTTTTTCCCCAAAAGTGATAGAAAGCACAATTGGAAATAATTTTCTGGCTTTGGAGAGTGGAAGAAGAGGTTGAGGTTGTATAAGATCTCAGAATACCTCATAAATTGTCTTATGTGAAATTATCATGTTTCCCTGAAAATAAGACCCAGTCTCGCTTTCTTTCTTTCTTTCTTTCTTTCTTTCTTTCTTTCTTTCTTTCTTTCTTTCTTTCTTTCTTTCTTTCTTTCTTTCTTTCTTTCTTTCTTTCTTTCTTTCTTTCTTTCTTTCTTACTTACTTATTTACTTACTTACTTACTTATTTATTTCCTCCAAAAGAGGCACCCAGGTCTTATTTTCGGGGCATGTCTTTTCCCGTCTCACCTCACAGTGGTGGCATCGACAGCCCTACCCAGCTGGACCACTTCTGTAGCCGCTTGCTGCTGCTCACATGCATCACCTCCAACCTCCATTCATCGTCAGAGGCCTTCAGGAAATGCCTCTGTAGCTGAGAATAGAGCTCCGGATTGATGAACATGGCACCCCCTGGCTTCCATTTCACCATCAGAGGCCTTCAGGAAAGGCCTCTGCAACCGAAAACCGAGTTCCAGATTGATGCGTACGGTGCCCCCTCTAGAGCTCTGTTCTCGGCTGCAAAGGCCTTTCCTGAAAGCCTCTGATGATGAAATGGAGGCTGGGGGGTGCCACAGACATCAATCCAGATCTCCATTCTCAGCTGCAGAGGCATTTCCTAAGGCTTCTGACGGCGAAAAGGAGGCTGGATTCAATTCATGCCAGTGGCGGCAAGCAGCCGCAGAAAAAGTGGACTGGTGAGGCAGATGTCAGGGCATGGGAGGCCTAGCTGCAACAATTAGAGGTTGTGGGGCACCTCCTGCCCCACCCTAGCTTGATCGTTAGGGTTAGGACTTATTTTTGGGATAGGGCTTATATTAGGCCCATTCCCCAAAATCAAGCTAGGGCTTATTTTCAGAGTAGGTCTGTCCAAAAATCATTGTTTTGCTATAGAGAACCAGTTCTATGATTGGCACCCCAATTATTTGCTGAAATGGTGTACTTTAGCTCCTGTTATTTGCCCCAACTCCTGCCCACCTAGCAGTTTGAAAGCATGCAAATGCAAGTAGATTAATAGTACCACTTCAATGGGAAGGTAACAGCCTTTCATGCACCTTTGGCATATAGTCATGCTGGCCACATGACCATGGAAATTATCTTTGGACAGCGCTTGCTCCCTCAGCCAAGAAACGGAGATGAGTATCAGGCCTTAGAGTGGACACGACTGACAGGGAAACCTTTACTTTTATTTTTTTTTAAATTGACTTTCACTGCCATCCTTAGCAAAAAGACAATTTAGTGACATTTTTTGCTTTCCGAATGGTATTTTTAACTGATGCTTTTTTTTACTATTCATCTATATATGACTTTAGAATGTAGCAGTTGAACATAGTTCAGCGAAGTCACCATATGCTCCCACTGTAAAAATGGTCAACAATATGTTAGGGGGAATAAAAAAAAAATACAGACGTCAATCGCATAATGCTGTTACATAAATCGGTGGTGCAACTGCAGCTGAAATATTGTGTTCATTTCTCATTCAGAAATGATATAGTACAACTAGAGAAATCTCAGAAGACAGCAACTAAGATGATGAAGGGGGCAGGAACATCTTCCTTATGAGGAAAGGTTGCAACGTTTGGGTCTTTTTCATCTGGAAAAATGAGAGGGTGCTTGTGTTTGAGATGCATTATGCATCATTATTCACCATGTTGGCAAGGAGCAGTGGAAAATGAGAAGCTATTTCTAGAATCAAAGGTGAAATTAAATCTTGAAAGCACATCAGGACAGACATATATTTTTTTTTACACAACACATAATTAAACTTTGAAATCTGTTACTATGAAATTTGGTGCTACCAAATTTGGCTGGCTTCAGAAAAGGATTAGACCAGTTTTATTTTATTTATAATATTTATAGGCTGCCCATCTTACCTCAAGGTAACTCTGGGCAGCTTGGAAGTCGTGGGTATCTTTAGCTATTAGCTTTTATGGTTGTATGACTCTCTCTGAAGACCATTTGCCAGAAGGCCAGTGAGCATCCTTGGCTTGATCATCCTTCTTTTTTTATAATTATTTATCTCTCCACCCCCATTTTCTTTTATCTTCTTTTGGCTTTTCTTCAAAACTCATTTAAGTGGTTAGTGACAACAGTATGTTTTCCCATTGAGGACATCCATCCTTTAGCCAAACAACTCTAAAGAGGCTCCATTTCATATGCTCCAGTTTTTCAGGAACATCCCCTCCTCAAGTGGATATGAACTGTGTCTCTGTATGCCTTGGTGTCACACTCTAAACCCTGTAAATCCATCCTTCCTATGTGTGAGCCGCACTCTGCACACAAGCTTTAGGGTGCGGACTCCGAAGCTATTCTAGCCCCTCATCTTTTTTCAAGCCTAACTTCTAGTATGTCTCTACTAGAATGTCTCTAACTTTATTTGTAAACCACCCAGAGTAAATTGGATGGATGGATGGATGGATGGATGATAGATAGTGTGGCTTCCTTACTTCTTCAAGAGAGCAGTCAACTACACCACCAAGTCCCAAACCTTTCCAGCTTGGCGGCCTGGCCCAGCTCAAGGGGGAGAGGGGCAAATGGAGCTTCATGTGAAAGCGGAAGGTGCTTGCACTCACGCACGAAGCTCCACTCGCACGAATGGAGCTTTGCATGTGAGCGCAAGCACCCTCCACTCATGAATGGAGCTTCGCACATGAGCGCAAGCACCCTCCGCTCATGTGAGTGGAGCTTCACATACATTCTTGCCATCTCTCCCTTGGCCCGGTTTCAAACAGGCCGCAGCCTGTTAGTGGGCTGCAGCCTGGGGGTTGGAGACCCCTGAACTACACTGCCACTTCCTTAGGTGTCTTCTGCATCACTCTTCAATTTATCATTAAGGGTTCAAAGCCTTCCAACTCCAAGCAGGGCAAAACGTTTCTGAATCGTTGGTTTCATACATCTTGGAACAACCCAAGATTAAGACATAGTGAGGTAGACCATTAAATTTATTGTTTTTCCACGTCATGCTTTTCTCTAATTCTTCTGCTTAATAATGTGTGGGATTGACAACATGACAAAAACCTTTTGCAAATCATCCATCCTCCAAAAAGGCAATTAGAGTTAGGTGGTCAGCCCAGAGTCAATTGGAGTCAGGAAGTGTGTAGCTTGAAATAGACAGATAAATAAATCAAATTCGCTATCAAGACTGTGACAGTGGAAAACCGGAACCATTTGGATTTCTGGAAATATCTCTACTGCTGGTAAGGTAGTGTAATAGAATATTGAAAGCCTGTCAAGGCTATTCTCCAATTCAATGTAAACTTAGCATAATTAAAGCAGTGTTACTCTGAGTCTCTTTTTCACAGTTCTCCCTAACTACCCCTGACTCAGGAATCTTTCCTGTAACAGCCTTGTTTTCTCCTCTAACAGCTGTGCACCAGTCTCCACATTCCCAAGGTCTATTAGACATTTCATATCACTAGCCCAACATCGTGTCTTATTAAAAAAAAAAAAAATCTTTCAGCAAAGCTACATTGGTGCCTATTACTGGTGCTATTGAGCCAGTGGGGCTTGTGCTGATCAGTCCTGCACTAGACTGAATGCCAAACAAGCAGGAAACAATTAGCATATTTCCAATGGCTTTATTAGCTCGGTTGTAAATCAGCTAACAGATGCTAGGACAGAGCAGTTGTAAATTAGGCAGATAATGATCTGAAGAGAATCCCTCACCTGTAAAGAAGAGCAGGCCTGTTGTAGACTGATAGTTTAGAGCTGCATCTGATATCCACAATATCTTGTCCAAGGATCATAAATCAAAAACATATCCATCAGGTACAAATCTCCTATCTAGAGGTTTTCACAGCCCTCCAGGATGAGATAGAGCAGGTTATGATGGTTTCTTAGAAGCCACGTACCAAGTAGAACATCACATACAAAAAAAGAGAAAATTAATTCCCTGCAGTATGAACTCTTTTCTTCAATAATACACACAAACACACAAACACACAGACACACACACACACACTGGATATCTACTTTTCATTGATGATCATTGATAATTCCTTAATACCTCTCTTGTATTCCTTTTGAAAGTCTCAGCAAGAAAGCAGTTATATTTGTACTTTCTACCTAAATAGAAATCAGAAACATGCATTATCCCTATGACTGTATTAGATTAGATATAGTCACCTATTTTGAATAAAATATCGAGATGTGTAAGTTAAGCCCAATCTTCAAGGAGAACACGATTTCAAATTTTAAAAAATGTCTTTTTTCTTCTTCTTTTTCTTTACTTCTTCTTTTACCATTTCAGGTGTTGAGCGATCAAATAAGAAGCAATTATATTTACTTTATTTTACAAGTATCCTATTTTTTTCATTATTTAAAACAAAGGAGGTTTTATTTTGTTCTAAACATTGAAACATCTAAAACTTTTAGATGACTTCTATGATTGTAACTCAGCGGTAGATTCAAATAAAATCCTTTATTACTGTTGACGACCAGATGTAGCTACAATTTAGTAACAATTTTGCAGGGATGAAAAGGGAGCAGTATAAAGATAGCTGAGCAATTTACACAAAAACAAGGAGATAGGAGAGAAAAGGAGAAAACAGCAGGTAAGCACTGGAGTACCAGACCATTTCTAAAGTATTGATAGTCTACTAGAATGTTACACAGCAATATAGGCTTATAGATACTTAACAATTAAGCATGTATTGCATTTTTGCTTTTTCTTATATACATTTTAGATTGACGTATTTATTATATTTCTACTAGGTAACATAAATACTGAATTATGTTTCTTTTTTTTCTACCTGAAACAATATTTTTCATTCAACCTAGACCAATCAGCCCTCTTCTGGACCAGAACACCCCTGATTTCACAACATTTTGCTCTGTAGGGGAATGGTTGCAAGCAATCAAGATGGAAAGATACAAGGATAATTTTTCTGCTGCAGGTTACAATAACCTTGAGACAGTAGCCAGAATGACTATTGAGTAAGTGAACTGAATGCTTATATTACCTATTTCTGTTTGTCTTTGTTTTCGTTTAATTGGCAGACAAGAAATGCTTGGCCAGATTATATAAAATTTATGTATTAAGAATCCCCAAGATTTAGTCACCCGATTAACACCTTGTCCAGCCTTCTTTTAAGAGAAAAAAAAAGTACCACAGAAAATTCTGGTCCCTTGCTAATATCTGTTTAATTATTATAAAAGAGGGTTTGACTTTGCACAGTAATAAAAACTATTGTCATTTGGGGAATTTGCTTCTTGCTAGCTAAGGACTTCAATATGATTATGGACAGTATTGACCCAAGGTAGCCCCGTCTAAGAATAAACCATATTTTTATTACCCTTTCTGGTTTTTTTATGCAAACAAGTGCTTCATATTGAGACATTTTCAACTACTTTACTCCTTGTGTGACAACCACACAAGGAGTAAAGAAGCTGCACTTCAGAGCAATGTCCTGAGTCCGCAAGGAGAAGGGTGGGGTATAAATTCAAATAATAAATAAATAATAAATAAATGTGACTTGAGGACAATAAATATCTCAGTTTGCTACTCTGTATGACAGAATGTCAGGGAGGTTTTAAGTCTTCATAAAAGTTGTAAAATGTTAAGACTGTGCTCCCTCTTTCTCTTTCTCTTCCTTTTAAAAAAAGAAAAGCAACAGCTATAGTTAGTATCCTAAGATGTATCTAACCTTCACGACAGGGGTCATGTTATCTCCTTGGAACATATACCCTTGCCACTTAGTGGAAGATAATAGCAGTTTTTAAGATTTTATTTGTACTCATCATAGTCTACGTTAGGCATGTCAAACTCGCGACGTCACGTGGCATCGCACAACGTATCAGGACTGTTTTACCATTGCTGGTAATGGGGTGGGCGCGGCTTCCGTGTGACACCTCCAGCCCACAGGCCGGCAGTTTGACACCTCTGGTCTACGTCAACAGAAAGCGCTGAGCATGTATGCCTGGCTTTTCAAGTGATTACTTCATCATATAACAGGGGTCTTCAAACTTGGCCCTTTTATGACTTGTGGGCTTCAACTCCCAGAATTCCTCAGCCAGGCATGCTGGCTGAGGAATTCTGGGAGTTGAAGTCCACAAGTCATAAAAGGGCCAAGTTTGAAGACCCCTGTCATATAACAATATGGTGAAGTAATCACCTGAAAAGCCAGGCGTGCCGATAGAGCATTGAATATCATGTGGTTGTATCACTATTGCTGTTTCTTTTCTACTGAAAGATTACTAATATTGAATTTTCCTCCCTCCCTCCCCTAGTGACATAATGAGCTTAGGAATCACATTGGTTGGCCATCAAAAGAAAATCATGAGCAGCATTCAGACTATGAGAGCACAAATGTTACACTTGCATGGCACTGGCATCCAAGTGTGATGAGACATTTCTCCCTTCCAAGGGAGGAGACGGACTTGAGAGAACAGTGCCAGCCTTCAGTCTCCATGAAGCGCTGCTAGAAGACACACGATTTGACAGAGCCTTCATGCAGGTAACAGAAGGCCCCACCAGAAGCACCTACAGACTTGAACTCCTAAGTGCCACCAGAAAGTTACTTAAAAAGGGAAAACAGACCTACTAATGGCGGCAACAAAAGAAGTGACAATAAACAAAGTACTACCTGAAACACCTACGAACACCTTGAACTCTCTAACCTCCTTTTTATCTAATGGACTTTTTAAAGTGTACATAAAGGATTTTAAAAGAAAGAATATATTTGTCAGATAAAAATCATGATATTGTTAAAGTCAACAAATATTTTCCTTAAAACTTTCATTTCAAACTTGTTTTTAAGAAATCAGTTGTGTTCCTTTTTTCACATTGAGCTTCTTTTAGTGTTGCATTTATATCTTTGGACCTTCTTAGTGCTAAGCATATGACACATTATTACACTGGGGAGTTTTGAAAGATCGTACAAGTTTCTACAGCCACAAGAAGTGTAGCAGGGAAATGTGTATCAGGCTAGCTACTGGGTGGGTGAAGCAGGGTTGGCCAGGATTTTTTATTTTTTTTTTCAATTTTTTAATTTTGGCATCTATTTTTGTCTGTTTATTCCACACCACATCGATGTGGTTTGCTAATTGGCAGGAAATCAGGAAAAAAAAATCATTGCCAAGAGTTCTGATATTTTTTAAAATAATTTTGTATAAGTAAATCACACACTCTTCTTTAAACAGGAAATGAATAAAATGGTGAACCTAGCAATAATGTTCCCTAAAAATGCCTAGGCACTTTTTAAGAAATGGTTTGAAAGATGGTTTTAGTAGGGTGCCTGGGTTAAAGGAAGCTGTACAACTGCAACTTTAAATGGGCTGAAGCCCTTTCACGGAATGATTGATGGTAGGTGCATAAACAGAACAAGTACAAGTCCTATAGTGTTGCTTAGCCTTTTAATCAGAGCACATTGGGTGTTTGTTCTTGCAGGGGATTGGGTGTCTTTTTTATTTTTTTCAACAACGTACATTAGAAGGTCTAGGAGAAATAATAAGCATATGGCTAATATGAGATTAAGATGAATGTAGTCCCTCTTGCAGAAATAAGAATGTGAGGATGCAATCCAGAGACTGCATATAAATTCAGAAGAAATTGCATTCAGGTGGGTGGATACACTCTGCTTTTATCAGCTGGAGCTTATTTTCTGTCCATACTTCTACCAGTCATGCTGTTTGAAATGTGGGTAGGCAGATCGCCTTCCTTGCCATAGACAACCTCATCTGTAGTGGCAAGCAATGACAGGACCCAGTCTGCAGCAATTCACATAATTCTCACCAGTGTTGCCACTAATAATGTACAAGCCAGGTATACATACCTTTCTCTGGTCCACATGTTGGGACAAGCCCAGTTCAGTATGAGGAAGCTATGCACATTGAAATGAATGGGATTTCAAAACGTAATTGTGCTCTGAAGCTGCTAGGATCTCATGGGCCCCAAGTCTATCTAACATTCTCTGGATTGCAGTTCTCTTGTGCGAGCTCTATGAAATGAGTGACAGATGGACAACAGATAACAGGGCTTGCACGGGACATGTTCCTGTCAGATGGTGCCTTTGGATTTTCTATTACAGGTGTAGGAATATAAGGCAAGTGGCACTTCAACATTTCATTGTGTGTGTGTGTGTGTGTGTGTGTGTGTTTCAATGAGCTGCTCTAGGCGCATGCATCCAGAACTTCAGACTGAAAGATGATTGTTGAGTGAGAGAACCCCTTTTTTTAAGAAAAAAAATACCAGTTTTAATTTAATATATGTGTACTTGAGTTGAGTGAAATATATAATTACCATAAGCAATAACAAAGTGTGTCGCAGGACTATATATGAAACAGGTGACTAATGCTGTCAAAAATATGAAAATCGTGAGCTACCCAGCAGTGAATAGCTGTACTTCCAAAGAGAACTGGGATGCTTCTATTGGTTTTCATAGAGAAAGATCCCAGGGATCAGTCATATAAATTAAGACTTGTTTGATAATGTGGGCATCCACAAAAAGAAAAAAAATGAAAAAAAAATAACCCTGTAAATGTTCCTTTGTAAAACTTGTACATTTTATTTATACTGTCTTGTTTTGTACACACATTTATGTGCAGTGAGCTCTGAATACATTGAAAATGCACTATATTTTTCTATTTTACTTAACAGAGCATCACAGAAAGGAACATGTTTTTTTCAGTGCTATATAATGTGTTTTCCCACGTTTAGGACCAAAGATAGTTACAAAGAATTCAAATAGATAATTTTCCCCTCCTACCATTTTCTTTTCCTTTTACAGCACTGTACAATGTTTTATTTGTTGTTTTATTTATTTATTTTGTTAGAAAAAAATAATTTTGATTATGCTAATTTTTCTTCTTTCACCCTTTGTTAAAGAAATCTGTAAAAAAGATAAACAAAAATATTTGAATTAACATAATCCCATTACATAGACACTTCCATTTGTAATCTTTGTAATAGACTGTAAATATATTTTTGGAAATATAACTGTGAATAAGGGTTATTTGTCATTGTCTGTCTATATAGCAACTGCAGCATTTGATAGCTTTCTCTAGGTGTCATAATTCCTCATTAGGTGTAGGGGAAACCGATAATTTAGTATTAAACTGAGAATAGCTGTTGTGTTCTTTATGCACCCATATGAGCATTTTCTAGATGGTTAAATTGGTTCATTTAAAATATTACTTACATCATTGATTTCAACAGCCTATGCCTAGAAACAAGGAAACGTGAAGCACATACAGCAATAAGCTTATGTTCAGGATCTGTGTTGATTCCACATAGACCACCTGCAAAGAGGTTCTTGTATATGTCACAAGGGGGAGGAAGAATCTAGATAACAGTTGCATATGGAGAGATTAGAGAGGATGCCAACCATCATACCAGTTATTTGCTTGGGAGCAGGAATGGGGTATATGTGCAGATTCAAAGGTAGCCTTCCATTTTCTCTATGAATCCCCAAAAGACAATTTATACTGTTGTTAACAGCTGGACCTATCACAAGTAGCATTTGTACAAGAGAAAATATTTTCATTGGTTTATTGCTCTGCCCATGGATAGCTAGATCAGGGCCTAAAGCTATAGTTCTAATCTCACTTCATTTGATTACAACCATTCTATTGGCTATAATTGTTTTTGCTTGTGCCATTTGCTTGCAAATTTACACCTCTAATTATCTTCCTATATCTTCCTATATAGATTCAGTAGCTAATAGTGTTTGTGTGATTGCAAAAAGAAATGAGTGCAGTGCAGCTTGGTGAAAATTGTCATGTTTACCCAAAAAGAACAAATATTTTTCTTTATGTTTGACTGTTATGAATGTAACTGTCTTTCTTCTTTCTGATCTAATAAGACTATATTCAAATGGGAATGAAATTTTTATCTGCACATTCCTATTTGAATGGGTATTCTAGAACTGATCTGATATAGGACCTATTTCTCGTAGACAATTAGCCATTTGTGGTACAATTAGCATGCTTATCATAATACTCAGGACATGGAATACTTCAAGAATAATATCAATATATTAATTTATACATTACTCATAATTAAAACCACAATACAATTTCAGTAATTAGGAGGATAAGGCAGTTACATAATGCTTTGTTTGCATTTAGTTCTTTCATATTCAATACCAGCTTTGGAAAACAATGGATTGCATAGGAATTCATGCTTCTGGAGAAACGATATAACACACGANATGTAATATAATTGTATCATTTTTTCATCTAATTAGATTCTATCCAGTGCACAGTCTCTCTCTCCCACTTTCTATCTGGCCAGGAAAGATATGACAGTATGTGGTGAGGTCACAGACCCAATGAATCACTAGTGTTGAGAAGCTGTGGAAAATAAGATCTGCTTATATCATATTTCTGCTGGATATAAGATGATTTAGAATCTGTTCCAGAAGTCTAAAAAAATTCAAATTATATAAAGTTACGCAGGATGCATACAGAATGCCTAAAAAAGCTAAGACAAAAGACTGCACATCCTTCAAAAGAAAGTTTTTGCAACGTGTTTTTTTTTTTTTAATATTCTGGAAAAGAAGCTGCTAAAAGAGGTCCATTCATCTGCATGGGAAAACAAGCCTTTGAAGGATTTTCACAGTTCTATTGTTACATTCAACAGAAAAGTTGATAAGGTAAATATAAAATCAAATTTATTACAGCCTTAAGGCCAGATACAAACAAAATATTGAATAAAAGAAGTATTACATTCTTCCATATCTTTGTATATGTGTCTATACAACATGAACATCAGAAAGTATAATGGAACTAAAAATAATTAAGAACAAAGTTACTAAAATCAATCCAAGTAGGATGCTATTATAAGAAGTTCCAAACCTAGTAATGGTGTGCTGTATCGTACAATTGTAGCAGAAACCTGCAACTTGAGGTTATTTTTGAATCCTTGTGTGAAAGAAGTAACATTAAATAGAAATCTCACTCCCTACCTGGACATTTCTTCAAGACAGGATATAAAAGAGTGTCTTGAATCTTTAAATAGGAAACTGCATATGGCTTAGAGCAGGGCTCCCCAACCTTGGCAACTTTAAGACCTGTGGACTTCAACTCCCAGAATTCCCCAGCCAGCATGGCTGGCTGGGGAATTCTGGAAGTTGAAGTCCACAAGTCTTAATTCTGGGAGTTGAAGTCCACAAGTCTTTAACTTCTGGGAGATGAAGTCCACAAGTCTTAATTCTGGGAGTTCAAGTCCACAAGTCCACAAGTTTTAAGTCTACTGAACCTTCACCACATGGACATAACCAAATGTGCTTAGGAGTACCTTTAAAATTTTCAAGGACTGCCTAGGGCAAAGTATATAATATCTGGCTAAAGTGAAAACCAATTTCAGAATCGGAATAGGTGATAAATAGGACTTGGAGCAAACCCTTTTAGAAGGAAATGATAACTATTGTGGGATGACACCTTACTTACACTTGTTTGGAGAACTATATGCTCTGGCATTCCCCCCCCCCCGCCGCCAGAATTTTATCAAATGCTTTTTTAAGCCATGATGATTTAAAACCATCTCTAAATGCTAATGGAGCCAAACCTATAGGAAGCAGGAACTTTAGCCAGAAAGTAAGAAGAAGAGACCATGCTGAAGCATCCAATAAAACTATAAGGTAAATAAATGTTGGAGAACATGAAAACTAAAAGTTTTTGAATTTTTATTTCTAGATCTCTTCCCCTCTATGAAAATATAAGATTGGCATTATTTCTCAATGGAGAACATGCTTATTCGTTGTTGTTTT